TCTGACCCCCTGGCCTCCTTGGCCCTGTCAAACTCACCCAACAGGGGCGCAACACTTGCCCGCCAGTCAAATCTACAGCGTCCCCAGCGCGCGCGCGGCGGTGAGGGCGTGGCCTCAGTGGGCCCCGCGGCCCCGGCAACGCCGCGCCCCTGGCGAGCCTCGCCATCTGCGTCGCCCCCCCCCCCCCCCCTTCAAACAGCGCGCAGCGGTCTTCCTCAACGCGGCCGGCCCATCCTCCGAACGGCCACCCCGCCCCCGAGCACTCGCATTGGCCGCCGAGAAACCGCGGGAGTTATTGGTGCACGCGGGCGGCGGCCCTCATCTTTTGTCGCGGTCGATCTCGGCGCCGTGCCAGATCTCCTCGCGATGCTCGCCTGTCCGCTGTCCACCTCGCGCCCCGCGTGGACTCGCTGGTCGTTCTCGAAGTAGAACTTCCTGCCCCTTCCGAAGCCCCCTGGGAGCTCTTCTTCCCCGCGGCCTTCGCTCTCTTCAGTCGGCCGAGAAATTCAGCGGAGGCGGTTCCGTGATCGCGAGCTCCCCCCCGCCCCGGGACCGCGCAAGCTTCGGCCGCGCGTCGGTCGGGTCGCCTGCCGACGAGGCCTTCTTCCGAGACCTCTCGCCGGCCGGGCCCGCGCACTCTGGGGCTGGTTCGACAGGCCGAACGCATTGGGTCGGCCTCGCGGACGCCTCCCCAACATCCACCTCGAGATCCGCGGCGACGGTGCTGCGCGCGCGCCCCCCATCTTCAATCGGCCCCTCGGAATCTTCGAAATGGGCCTAGCGGTCCAGTCGACGCCGCGACATAATCAACGCGGGCGCCCTACTACCCACCAATGCATGTGGAACCCACTTGTCCGGCACAAAGACATGACCTCGAACCGGGTTGAGCTGGCCCGATTTGCGCGCAACCGAAAGTGGGGCATTCCACTCGGCAACGATGATCCTGCGGGTAGAAAATCGCCGACGCCAGAGCCGCCATCTGCCCGACCTTCTCCATTCGCCCCAAAAATTCGAAGCCCCGCGCGCAGGTGGGCCCCCGTGATCGCCAGATGGAAACCTTTTGCGTGAGACCCGCGCGGACGCCACGTTCCCGCGTCGAATCCTAATCTCACTCTCGGCGCTCGCTTGCCGCGGCCCCCCCCTTCTCCAAGGTGGGAAATTCATTGTTGGAAGCGAGGTGTCTCGGCGATCTGGGCGCCAGCTTCTCCGCGGCGCCCGCGCCCGCCCCGCCAGCTTTGGAAGGGGGGCCGGGGCGCTTCGCTGCCAGCTGGACAACGCGCGCCCTTCCAGCCCAGCCTGTCCAATTCAACCAGCACCGCATTGCGCTCGCCCAGCAGCGCGCGCCGCCCCCGATCGACCGCTTCGCCCGCCCCCTTCGTCCGAAACTCTTTTGGCCGAGGGGCCGCATTTCCGCGCATCTCGACTGTGGATCCCAAGGATATCGCCCGAATCGCACTTGGCCTCCTCGCAGGGGCCTCGCGTCGAACCACCCTGCAGTCGCGGGCGCGGGGGGGCGCGGGGGGAGGGGTCGCGGTGGCGCACGCAGAAAAAACCTAACTCGCGCCAGCAAGCCCGCGGGGGCAGCCCCCAGCCACACGCCCCCACCCGGCGCGCGAGGAGATCTCCGTCTTGAACCTGCAGCCCCGCAGAAGCAGCCCTCGACCCTGCGCCCTCTGTTCGGCGAAAATCGAAACCGCCGGCTTGCGCGAGTGGGCCCGCGGGCGAAGCCCCCGACCCAGCGCCCTCCAACTAGCGTTGAAAAAATCCCCCGACTTGATCCAGCGCGCCGGCGGAGGCAGCCGGGGGCCCTGCGCCGCGCGCGTGGCGCGCGGGGAAGACCGCCCTCGCATGCGCGCGGGATGCGCGCGGGTCTACCAGGGAGGCCCATGGCCCCGCGCCTGGACCATGGCGCACAAGGCAGCTTCCGTCTCGCACTTGCGCGGCCGCGGGCTGATCCGCGCCCCGTGTTGTCGTCGCCGAAACTCGCCTGTCGGGTGGCGGGGATTGCTCGCCAACAAATGGGGACTCGCGCCAATGGCTGCCAATGCTTCGTGGCCCTGCGGGATAGCCGAGTGCCGAGCGCCGCGCATCCCGCGTGGCGCCAGAAGACATGGGGCGTTCCCTAGCGGTGTTTCTCCAGGATGGAGCATCGCACCTGCCGCGCGACAAGTCTACCAAATGGCATCGCACAGTAGCGCCCAAACGAATGGGGGGGACCGCGCGGCTCAACATCAACAGTCTTGCGTTACCGCTACAACTCAACATGTTCTCGTCGCCCGACCTCCACCCAGGTCCGAATCATCCGCGTGGGCGGGGAGCATGTCGCGTAGTCGCTCACCGTTTCCAGCTCACCCCTCTGGAACCGCATGGCGCCCCCCTGGCTTCCCTATCTGTTGCGATCGGGAGGTAGAAGAAGAAAGACCGACGGCGCACTGCCATTTCCCAAGGGCGGCTGCTCCATAGCTCAGCGATCTCCCACACAGCCATGCGTGGATCCATCCTGAACAACCCTCTCCTCGCAACGACAGTGGTCCCTATTGACATCGGTGCCGCGACGCAAGGAGTGCACAATCATCGCAAACACCTGTGCTCCTGAAGGCTACAAGCTGCAACTCGGAAATTGAGGATCTATATTGCTGTGCCCGCCTTTATTTTCGAAAGCTACTTTCTGTCTGCGGCCCAATCAGTCGCAGGGGGTGGGGGCTGGGTATCCTCAAACTTCCCCATGTCACCGTGAAACTTGAGCTCCCGCTCTACACACCAACTCGTTCGATCGATATGCGCCCCCAGGAAGTCACCTTCCCACATTTAGAGTTGTTGCGAGTCCCTAGATCCGATCGTACATGTTCTTGAGATCTTTCTGCCCCTTTTCAATAGTTTCTCCTGCCGCCTTCCGTAGGGGCAACCCCCCCCCACAACGGCTTCAGGCGCACGCGGAACTCATGATGCAAAACCAGTCGACGGGGTCACTGCCTGGGCTAAGACTTGTCCTTTCGGTATTTCCTCCTTGACGTCCTCCTTTTTGCCCTGTTCTGCCTTCTGCCAGTCGCCGATCGCCCTGATGTTGGCTTGTTGTTGGCTCGCCAAGGTGCTGGCCATGTCGCTGGGCAGGGCGGCCAGCGCAGTGCGCAACGGGGTCTCGAACTCGGTCTTGCGGCGCTCGCGCTCCTTCTTATCCATTTGGACGCCCGAGTTATCCGGGGTAACTCGGGTCCGGGGTAACTCGGGTTTGGGTTCCCGAAAAACGAACCCGAGTTAGCCCTGACCCGAGTTACCCCTGATGATTCGGGGCCCTGGACGCCCGAAATATCCGGGGTAACTCGGGTCCGGGATAACTCGGGTTCGGAATCCCGAAAAACGAACCCGAGTTAGCCCTGACCCGAGTTACCCCTGATGATTCGGGGCTCTGATCCATGTCCTCCAGCTCGGCATCCTCGGGCGGCCTCCAAAGGGCAGGTTGAGATCAGCTATCGCACCCAAGAACTCACGCACGTCCAGCGTGCGCAACTCCTGGTGCGCACCGCGCCCCGAGGCCATCTCCTTGGCCACAGCCTACTGCTGGACACCGGCCTTAGCCAGGTCCCCTGCGCCCGCTAGATACTGTGCCATAGCTGCCTCCAAGTATTGCTTCAAGTATTGCTTGAGCCTGGCCAGCGTACCCGAGACCTTTTCGAGAGCCCGATCTGCCTGCTCGACCTTTTTGGCTGCATTCGTGAACCGCGACGATGCCGGCTTGGGTGCAGGGACTGGTTGAGGTGGCGCCAGCGAATCCGCCAGCGCCTTCGCATGCTCAGCCCCACGGCCTCCTTGTGGCCGCCAATTCGGCAAGAACTTCAAGTTCATGAATGTTTCAATGCCGTAACCTTCATGGCTTGCCAAGTATGCCACGTCCCAGAAAAGTCGTAACTGGGCCTCCCCTTGAGGGCGCACCTGCGAAACTGACAAGTCCACTCGCATTGGGGGGGAGGGGGGAGGGGGAGGAAGAAGGAGTGCGCGGAGAGCTTCCTTCAAAACGAATGCCCGCGGGGAAACATGGACCTGGAATCGGCGACACATTGCCAATAGATCGGGCGGCACGCCCCCCAAAGCAAAACCCCACTTTCATGGGCGGCGTAGACCATTGGGTCCCCGTCGGCGATGAATGGAGCATCTGGGGTCCATGCGATCCCGCCGAGCATACGGCAGGGAACTGTTGCTGAGCGCGATGCGGCGACGCCTACGACGACACGCTGTGCCCAGCAAGCGGATGGCGTGTCGCTCCGCTCCGCGGGGCGGGAGGTTGGGAACAGCTCGAGACGTTGACGCTTGGGAATGAGGGCTTGGTTGGAAGCCTGAACATGGGCACCAACACCAAAACTGAGGATTGCTTCCACCAGGGGAAGATCCTGGATTTTGGTGTTGTCAGTATTTCGGCCGTCTGGGCAGTACGAATATTACCACCATCACCGAAAACAGGATCATCTGCCCTCGGTGGAGGCACACCGCCGACATCGGTGCTGGTGTCAACCTCTAGGCCTCCGACTTGGCCAGCGTGTCGCGCCGAAGCGTGGTGGGCCAGCACCAGACTGCGACACGCTAAACCCAAATCCCCGACCGTACCCCCTCGACCTGCTCCTCCCGTGCCTTCCGCGCGGCACGTGCCGCGCTGCCGCGGCCGCGCTGCCGCGGCCGCAGCGGCGACCACCGTCGAGGCCGAAGCGGTGGCACCGTCCGCGCGGATGGCGCGGAAGGGGCAGGTCGAGGGCTCCCCTTAACGTTGCCCTAGGGCTCCCAGCTTCGCGCTTCGCGCTTCGCGCTGCGCGAAGCGCGAATAACTTCGCGCTCTCGCGCCGCCCCCCCAAAGGGAGAATAGGAGGACGAGGAGGAGGGGGAGGAGAAACGAGGACCGCGAAGCGCGAAGCGCGAATAACTTCGCGCCCTCGGGGGAGCCCTTGGGCAGGTCGAGGGCTCCCCTCAACGTTGCCCCTGGTCTGCGCGCCGCCCGAGCCTGAGGACCTCGCTCAGGTCCGGCAGCTCGACGCCCTCCCAGGGGCCCTCGCCGGCCTCGGCCCCCGCGCCGCTCGGGGCTCGCGGCGGCCTGCCGAGGAGCGCGCGCTCGGTCCGGTCCGGCGTCGTGGTGACGGCCTCGCCCCAGCCGGACGAGGCCTCCTCCTTGCTGGAATCGGGGAGACGTAAGACCCGGGTACGGGGGACTCGAAAATCCCCGACGAGGTCGTCAAAAAAAATGACGAGGCCGAGCCTGCATTTTGACGAGGCCTCCCGCTGCAGACATCCCACGAAACTCCTCCTCGTCAAAATCCGAGTCGCGGTCGTCAAAAAACGATGGCGAACCCGAGTCCTGGCAAACCCGGGTCTTACGCTCCCCCGATGGAAGAGCAGGCCCTCGGCCTGCACCTTCCGCACCATCAGCGCGGCAGGTGCCGCGCTGCCGCGGCCGCCTCCGCGGCCGCAGCGGCGGCCACCGTCGAGGCGGCCGCTCATCGCGGCGGCACCTTCTGCGCGGAAGGCGCAGGTCGAGGGAAATCCAGATCTCCGACGATGCGTTCTCCCTCGGTTGGCCAGCATAAAGGACGGCTTCTGGCCCGCAGGACCATCGAGAATGGATCCGATACGAAAGACCGTCCTCAGGAAGGTGGTCGGGAGCTCTGGGGCTTCGGCTGGGAAACGGCACTGGCCAAAACCTTCGGGGCTCTCGCGGGGTCTTTGGTTCGGCGACGGGCCCTTCTATGGCGGCGCCTCGGGCGCAGTCCGCGCGCCGTGGGGAGGGAGCCCAACGCCACCCCCAGAACCCCGCGTGGGCCTCCGAGGTCTGTGCCTGCGCAACTGTTCCTGTTTCTCTCTGGCTCCTGGAAGAGGGGCATTTCCCGCTCCTCTGTGGCCCCGAACGGCTGCTGCTCCGCGACTGGCGCCTGCGCCGCGGCGGGCGCCTGCGCCTCCTGCGCGCCCTCGGAGGGCTTCTGCTCCGCGGCTGGGGTTTGCTCCGTCGCCGCCTGGGAGGGCGCCTGCGCCGCGGCGGGCGCCTGCGCCTCCTGCGCGCCCTCGGAGGGCTTCTGCTCCGCGGCTGGGGTCTGCTCCGTCGCCGCCTGGGAGGGCGCCTGCGCCGCGGCGGGCGCCTGCGCCTCCTGCGCGCCCTCGGAGGGCTTCTGCTCCGCGGCTGGGGTCTGCTCCGTCGCCGCCTGGGAGGGCGCCTGCGCCGCGGCGGGCGCCTGCGCCTCCTGCGCGCCCTCGGAGGGCTTCTGCTCCGCGGCTGGGGTCTGCTCCGTCGCCGCCTGGGAGGGCGCCTGCGCCTGCAGGGCGTCAGAGGGCCTCTGCTCCACGGCCGTGCCCTGCTCCTCCAGGGCGCCCTCGGACGGACTCTGTTCTGCGACTGGCCTCGGCCTGACCTGCTGCTCCAGCACGCCCTTGGGCTCCTGGCCTCTGTCGGTCTGGGGGATGAACATCATCTTCACGTCCATGACGCCGCAGTACTCGTTCCAGTAGAACCCGCGCAGCTGGCACTGAGACCCCGTCATGTTCCTCTGCTCCGCTTTGATGTCGTGGCGCCACAGATGCGTCTTCTTGTAGTGGTTCGGGCAGCCGGTGGGCATGCGCATGTAGCACCCGGGGAGCACTGGGAGGCCGTCGATCACATCGGCCTGCTTGTCGACTGCGGCCGAGGCCGTGGAGAGGCCCTGCGACTGTGCCGCCTGGGCTGCAGGGCTGCCCTCGGCCAGAGTCCAGAAGAACAAATAACGGAATGAACACACAGCTTCGGAAGTCTTCTCGGATGTCTTGGATCTGCGCTGGACGCCGCTCCCTGGCGCCCGGAGCGCGCCCGGGGCGGCGCCGGGGGCGCTGCTACACAGGAGGGGCCCCAGCGCCGATGCAAGACATCCGCGCGGAGCGCCGGAAGCTTGTGGTTCGTGGTGCGGCTGCTTCTTCGAGGGCCTGCTCCTGCGCAGCCTCGGGCGGCCCGGCGGCGGGCGGGAGGCTGTTGACCTCGGCGTCCAGCTCCTGCTGCCGCTTCTCCTCGGGGCAGCGCGGGCCGAGGCACCGACGGCGCAGAGTCGATCGCCCAGACCCCTCCCGGGGACCAAGCGCACCGGCTCCCCGAGCCGGGGGCTCGCGCCGCATCGGCGATGCATCGGCGGTGGCATCGGCGAGGAGAACAGCGGGCTCCACATCGAGCCGCATCGCCGATGCATCGGCGATGCGGCGCGGTCCTCCGACCCCATCGAGTTTGTCCGACCACATCTGGGAGGCCTAGTTAGTTCCAGCTGGAATGCCATACACGGCACAAGCATAAACTTTGGGAGCTCCGACGAATGTTGACGTGTATGCAGCTGTTCTGTTCCCTACCTAGGCTCTGCCTAGAAGGGTTCATACTCGGTATGCGAAAAGGGCCGGGCAGTGTTCCACGCCCCGGGCGGTGCCCCCAGTATCCGCACCGCGGTTCCCCCAGTTACGTCCCCTTAGTTTAGCGTTGCTTATCTCATCTTAGCTTAGCTTGTTCCCTACCTAGGCTCTGCCTAAAAGGGCTCTTACTCGGTATGCTTAAAGGGCCGGGCAATGGTCCACGCCCTGGGCGGTTCCCCCGGCATCCGCCCCGCGGTTCCCCCAGTCCCCTGAGAGCTTTAGCTTTAGCTTTAGCTTAGCTTCAGCTTAGCTTCAGCTTAGCTTTAGCTTAGCTTTAGCTTAGCCTTAGCTTAGCTTTAGCTTAGCTTTAGCTTAGCTTTAGCTTTAGCTTAGCTTGACCTTAGCTTGACCTTAGCTTGACCTTAGCTTGACCTTAGCTTTAGCTTAGCTTCAGCTTAGCTTCAGCTTAGCTTCAGCTTAGCTTCAGCTTAGCTTTAGCTTTAGCTTTAGCTTAGCTTCAGCTTAGCTTCAGCTTAGCTTCAGCTTAGCATTAGCTTAGCTTTAGCTTTAGCTTTAGCTTAGCTTTAGCTTTAGCTTTAGCTTAGCTTTACTGTTACTACTAATGCTGCTTTCCTAGGGGCTCCAGCTCCTAGGTAGGGTCGCACTGGGATAATTTCTAGATCGCCTCCCAAGGGACGAGCGGACATAATTACATAGCAGCGCTATCATATGAAGGCTTCAGAATACACAGAGATATGTGCACATCCAAAAACACTCCCCAGGTTTCCAACTCTTTGTCCACATTCCCTGCGTTCTCCTCGTCACCCCCATGGCCCATACCTTTTTCATATGTAACGGAGATCGACTGCTGCTTGTGTCTGTGCCTCTCCTCTCCTCCTGAAGCTCCCCCTCCTCTGATCTCCTTCGCGTCGTCCCACTCCGTGCCGTCTGGCCCTGGCGCCCCCCCGGCGGCGCCGGCGGGCTCCCGCGGCTCGCCGGAAGGGGGGGCTGCTGCCGGAAGGGGGGCTGGGCTGCCCTCGGCCAGACACACAGCTTCGGAAGTCTTCTCGGATGTCTTGGATCTGCGCTGGACGCCGCTCCCTGGCGCCCGGGGCGCGCCCGGGGCGGCGCCGGGGGCGCTGCTACACAGGAGGGGCCCCAGCGCCGATGCAAGACATCCGCGCGGAGCGCCGGAAGCTTGTGGTTCGTGGCGCGGCTGCTTCTTCGAGGGCCTGCTCCTGCGCAGCCTCGGGCGGCCCGGCGGCGGGCGGGAGGCTGTTGACCTCGGCGTCCAGCTCCTGCTGCCGCTTCTCCTCGGGGCAGCGCGGGCCGAGGCACCGACGGCGCAGAGTCGATCGCCCAGACCCCTCCCGGGGACCAAGCGCACCGGCTCCCCGAGCCGGGGGCTCGCGCCGCATCGGCGATGCATCGGCGGTGGCATCGGCGAGGAGAACAGCGGGCTCCACATCGAGCCGCATCGCCGATGCATCGGCGATGCGGCGCGGTCCTCCGACCCCATCGAGTTTGTCCGACCACATCTGGGAGGCCTAGTTAGTTCCAGCTGGAATGCCATACACGGCACAAGCATAAATTTTGGGAGCTCCGACGAATGTTGACGTGTATGCAGCTGTTCTGTTCCCTACCTAGGCTCTGCCTAGAAGGGTTCATACTCGGTATGCGAAAAGGGCCGGGCAGTGTTCCACGCCCCGGGCGGTTCCCCTAGTATCCGCCCCGCGGTTCCCCCAGCTACGTCCCCTTAGTTTAGCGTTGCTTATCTCATCTTAGCTTAGCTTGTTCCCTACCTAGGCTCTGCCTAAAAGGGCTCTTACTCGGTATGCTTAAAGGGCCGGGCAGTGTTCCACGCCCCGGGCGGTTCCCCCGGCATCCGCCCCGCGGTTCCCTCAGTCCACTGAGAGCTTTAGCTTTAGCTTTAGCTTAGCTTCAGCTTAGCTTTAGCTTAGCTTTAGCTTAGCTTTAGCTTAGCTTCAGCTTAGCTTTAGCTTAGCTTTAGCTGAGCTTTAGCTTTAGCTTAGCTTGACCTTATATTAGCTTTAGCTTAGCTTTAGCTTAGCTTTAGCTTAGCTTTAGCTTAGCTTTAGCTTTAGCTTAGCTTGACCTTAGCTTGACCTTAGCTTTAGCTTAGCTTCAGCTTAGCTTCAGCTTAGCTTCAGCTTAGCTTCAGCTTAGCTTTAGCTTTAGCTTAGCTTCAGCTTAGCTTCAGCTTAGCTTCAGCTTAGCATTAGCTTAGCTTTAGCTTAGCTTTAGCTTTAGCTTAGCTTTAGCTTTAGCTTTAGCTTAGCTTTACTGTTACTACTAATGCTGCTTTCCTAGGGGCTCCAGCTCCTAGGTAGGGTCGCACTGGGATAATTTCTAGATCGCCTCCCAAGGGACGAGCGGACATACATAGCAGCGCTATCATATGACTGACTCGGCGTTTCAGTCGCAAGGGCCAACATCCAGGTGATTATTTTTGTTTTAGAAAACCTCGATTTCGGAGTTGCGCAATTCTGGCGGCAAAAACCATGTCTTCTGATTGCCTGGCCCAGGAACGTTGAACCAAAAGTAAGTGATCAAATCCTGCGTTGTTGATGTTTGCACCGCTTGCAGAAGTGTCGATTTGGGGGTTGCTGGTATTTCATTGTGTTCTCGAACCGTCGATTTGGAGGTTGGTGGCATTTCACGGTGCTCTCGAGACGTCGATTTGAAGGTTGGGTAATTCCCCAGAAACGTTTGACATGTCATTTGCAGCCTTCGCCAACAGTGCTCACATACGGAATGTGTTGTCTCCGCTGGCCTAAAATTCGCCGTGGGGCGTGTCAAACGGGGAGGCGGCTGTGGTCGCGCAGGTGGTCATGGCAGCGATCGGCCAGTGGCGGCGGCGGCGACGGGCGGCGGCAGCGGATGGCAGCAGCGAGAGGAGGTCGGACACTTGTTAGGGACGCGGGCTATGGACTGCGGAAAAGCATGGATTGCTGACGAAAGTTGCGGGGGAGATGGAACAGCAGCTGAACAGCAGGAGGATGGGGCCAGGAGGAGGAGGAGGGGGAGGAGGAGGAGGTCCAGGAAGAGGAGGAAGAGGAGGGGGAGGAGAGGAGGGGGAGGAGGAGAGGAGGATAAGGAAGGGAAGCAAGGAACAAAAAAGGAGGGCGGGAGGGAGGGGAGGAGAAAAGGGTGCGAGAGAAGGAGGGGGGGGCGCGGTTGCGCGCGGGACGGGGAGGGGGGGAGGGGGGGGGAAGGAGGGAGGGGGGAGAGAGGGCTCAGAGAGAGGAGCAGCGGCGGAGGGAACGAGGGGGGGGGAAGCAGATGGATACAGAGAGCTAGGGAGGGGCGACAGATGAGGACACGCAGGGGGAGGAGCGAAACTGGAGGAGGTGACGAGGGGGAGGAAGCGGAGGGGGATGGGGAAGGAGGGGGCGAGCAGGAGGAAGATGAAGAGGGAGCACGAGCAGGCCGACGACGACGACGACGAGGAGGGCGCGGAGGACGAGGCGGGGGAGGAGGGGTGCAGGAAGAGCAAGAGGGCTTCAAGAGGGACAGGAGGAGGAGCCAGGAGGAGCAGGAACGGGAGGAGGATCAGAAGCACGGGTGGGGCGACAACGAATACGACGACGACGGACAGTTGTTAGAGATTAGAGATGCGGGCTATGGACTGCGGAAAAGCATGGGTTGCTGACGAAACTTGCGGGGGGGATGGGGAAGCAGGAGGATGGCCAGGAGGGGGAGGGGGGAAAGGAGGAGGAGGGCCAGGAAGAGGAGGAAGAGGGGGGAGAGGAGAGGGTGGGGAGGAGAAGAGCGCTGCAAACTCTGCTCGAATCTTCTGTTCGAGATATGAGCGTGGCCCTCGGCCCTAGCCGCCCTAGCCTCAGCGTTGGCCTTCGCCTGTTTGACGACGGGGGGGCTCCGAGGGCGCCGTCCGAGCCAGAACTTCGACGGCTCGAGTTCCGCCGACAAGTGAGGAATGCAAATGTCCCCCCCCCCACTTGGTTCTCAGGCGCTCGCCCCATGGGCTGAGCAAGACCTGGTGCAAGTGATAGTTGCACTTGCAATGTGAGCCAACATCCGCGACTTCGCCGCCTGCCAAGGACATGTCCGCGTCAAGGATCAGCATCTCCACGTACTCCGTCAGCTTGATGACTGATTCCTTTGCGATGACGCGCCGAAACTGATGGGCGCGCTGAATCTCCGCGCAGGGCCAGCCGGCGGCAACGTCGCCAAGCGAAGCGCGCTCACAGCTCACAGCGTTCTTCTAGGGGTCGCCAAGATCAGGCGCCCGCAACATCGCGACGCAAGGGCCGCTGACGTTGGCTCTCAGTGAGCAGGCCACTTCATTCGGCGAACCGCGACGGCGGCTGGCAAGGGTTGATTGGCGCGACCGAAAAGACGCTTGGATATGTTTGATTGCGCGCATTGTTGGGATATGTTTGACGACGGCGGGGCCTGTTTGAGGATGGGATATCGCGCTACATTTAATATGTTTGACGACAGCCACGGTGGCTTGTTGTTTGATGTTTGACGACGGGATCGTCAGCGCTGGCAAAGATTTATGCAATTTCGTCGTTCGTCGCCGTCGCGCGTTCATCGCGCGAATCGCGCGCGGCCTGGTACACGAAAGAAACTGAAACGCAGCGATGCATCCTCTGTTTTTCTTTAAGAAACATCAAAAAGTAAATGGGAGGGCCGCGGCCGAAGGCCAACTCCACGCGGCGCGCCGCTGGGCAGCGGCTGAGCTCGCCGCGCCTCCTTCAGAAAGTCCTGCTCTGACAGCTCTGAATGGTTGGGCGTCTCCCCGCGCAGAGGCCCTGGGGCAACCTTCTTGCGCGAAGGACCGCGAGGGCCGCCCGATGATCGACGCGCTGCGAAGACGGAAGCGAAGGCCCAGAATCCAGAGCCGCTCGCGTCCGTCGAGAATGCCGGCGCACCAAATGGATCCTCGAGCAGCCGCCCCCGATCCCCCCGCGCCATGCCAAGCGGCCGTTCCGCCACCGCGGGAAACGCGCGCGCCGTGGCGGCAGCGATGGCTGAGCCATGGCTTGCTGGCCGATTCGCCGCAGGCGCCTTCGAGAATCCAGAGGAGGTCTGGCCCCTCGCGCACGCGCTGCGCGAGGGCGTCGCGCGCGGGGTTCGAATCGCCCCCGCCCGCGCAGTCCGAGAGGGCCAGGCCCCCTGCAGGACCGTCGACGCGTCGCGTCTGCCGCCGTCCTCAATGGGCCACATAAATGTTCAATCTAGTGTTCTGTTCTGGAAATTCCATGTCGGCTTTTCGATTGTGGCTACCTGTTGACAATGCAAAATACGCAACTAACTCTTCGACGCGCGCGCAAATCGGCGCTTCGACTTGCCCGCGCTAGAAAAGTCGACGCCCTCTACTTTACTACAACAAATGACCCCGATTGCAATTCTGCAGCCACCGTCCTTTACGACCGCGACTCCGACGATTCGACGATTTTCTGCTGGCGCTACTAATACTTCTACAATGTATACACAAACTACACACAACTTGCACGACCACGCCGTCGCGTTGGCACGTTGCCGCGCGACGGCCTCGGGCTGCGCGAACGGCCGCGCGCCTTGCAGTTCCGAACGGCATCATCCTTGCCACTTCCCCAGTTCGAACGCACGTTATCCCCCATCATCCTCGCCTTCATGGACTCCAATCCTTCTCCTCCCCCCGCGCCCTTTCCTTCTCATATCCCCCTCCTCCCCCTCCTCCTCCTCCTCGCCCTCCTCCTCCTCGCCCTTCTCCTCCTCGCCCTTCTCCTGCTCCTCCTCCCCCCTCCTCCCCCGCCCCCATTCCTCCCGCCGAATCCCCCTCCTCCTCCTTCTCCTCCTCCTCCTCCTCCCCCTGCTCCTCCTTCCCCTCCTCCTCCTCCTCGTCCTCCTCGTCCTCCCCCTCTTCCTCCTCCTCCTCCTCCTCCTTCGCCCCCTTCTCCCCCCCCCTGTTCCTCCTCCCCCCCCTCACCCCCTCCGACCCCCCCCCCCATTCCTGCCGCCGAAATCCCTTCCTCCTACGCGTCTCTCCTCTCTTTTCCTTTCCTCTCCCCTCCTCCCACCCTCTCCCGCCCCCTCCCCCCCCCCTCCTCTCTCTTCCCCCCCCCCATCCCCCTCGCGACTCGCCTCGGCTGAAGCCGAAATTGCGCAGCGAGCAAGCAGGTCCGCCAGCAAGAAGGCCGCGCTGCAAAGCCCGCCTGGGCCATGAACTGGCTACGCCCAGTGCCCTCGCAAGAATCGGGCGCGCCGTCGATGGCCACCTGGCACCTGGCTCGTTCGAGGCCCTCTGCAAGCTCGCCCGCCGCTGGCGATGCCCCCGCGA